AGGGGCGGCAGGGGGCGGCAGGAAACTACGTGCAGACTGGGAACGTTGTGAAAGAGGGAGGACGAGCACGCGAAAACATCGGTGCACTCGACGACTTTGTTGAATTTCTATAATTTCTGCATCGCCCGTACAGTGGATTGGAGTGTCAGCACGCGTATCCATCCTGCTGCTCTACCTATACCTCACGGCAATGCCCCGCCCGCCTCACCCGCACCGCTCGTCTCCCCCTGCCTCTACATGTACGAAGAGCGCCCACCTAGAACCCAGCATCTCACACGGCGACACCTCGCAGCGCGATCTCCACGCCGCGCATCTCACACCTCGCGGGCCTCCACCGCGGCCTGCTCCTTCTCGCGAACGCGGCGCACCGCGTCGGTAAGCGCCTGCGGCCACCTCCTCTTCGGGCGCCCGGTGTTCGCGTCGATGGGCACGAGCGTGACTCGCGCCGTGGCGCACACTTTCCCTCCCGCGAGCCTGAACTCGCTCTCCAACGGGACGCGCATCCTGGACTCGGCGCTCGCCAGCCGCACGCTGACGTCGACCACGTCCCCGAGCTTGGCCGGCGCCAGGTAGACCACCTGCAGGTCGCGCACCACCAGCTCCGTCTCGTGCGCCACCACCAGCTCGTCGTGCGTCAGCGCCGCGTGCTCGAAGTACCGCACGCGCGCCTCCTCTAGCCACCGCACGTACGTGCCGTGCCAGAGGGACATGCTCTGCGCGGCGTGAGGGGAAGGTTAGGCTGGTGCGTCGCGGTGCGTGGAGAGGGCGCGATCGGGAGAAGGCTTACGTAGTCAGAGTCGGCGGGCAGCACCGTCTTGCGGATGGAGAAGGGCGCGACGGGGCGAGCCGCGCCGTTGGATGTCGTCGTCATCTGCGGCGGGCGGAGGCACGGAGATATGGCGGGGAGACCGGCGCCGCCAGCGGACGCGCGCGCGGAGAGCGGCGGCGGGGACAGGAAGGCCGGCGCAGGAGACATGTTGGCGAGGGCGTGCGGGGGAGGTGGAGGCGCCAGGCGCAAGGAGTCGGGGTGGTGTAGTACTCGGTAGAAATGGCGAAAAGTAAGGAAGAAATATGATATTCGTGAGGTCGTGACTTCGCCCGGAGCTGCGGTCTACCGCTTGGACAGGTCCTCCATGCGTCTCTTGGCCAGCATCTGCTCGACGTCGACAAAGTCGGGGCGTTCGTCGCCGCTCCACAAAACCTCTCTCGCGCCGCCGCCAGTATAAAACAGAGTCCATGGCTCCGGAAAGGCCCTCATCAGCGTCCCGCCGTTCGAAAACTGCTTCACGTAATACGCCGCCTGGAAACGGCTCAAAAACCTCGTCTTGGCCTTGTGCAAGCCCGGGTAGAACACGCGCGGATAGTACCCGCCCCTGACCTTGTCCAAGTCTGCATTGACGGCCACGAGCGCCTTATCCCCCGCCAGCGTCTCCATATTAATCCACTCGGACACGTTGAACCCGGGGTTGACCACTGCCACGACGCCCTCGCCGTCGACGTAGCCGGGGCGCTTCCCGTCGGTCGGGATCGCGCCGACGGAGAACGGCACGTCCCCGTACGCCTTGGCGGCCAGGCGCGCCTCGCTGACGTCCGGGAAGACCGCCACGACGGAGCCGCGCGGGTAGCGAGGCGTGAAGGTCAGCAGGAACTCGCGCACGAACGCCCGGTTGGCGTCGAGTAGCTCGTTGAGCGCTGCCGTGGCCATGTTGGGCACGGCCGGGAACTGCACCTCGACGAGCGGCTCGCCGGCCGAGAGCGCCGCCTGCACCGAGGCGGTGCACTGCGCGCGCAGCTGGACGTAGGTCGCCGGGAGCGCGGTCGCGCAGCGCGGCGCGCGGGGCTGGCGGGGGGAGGAATGGAGGCGCCGGCGCGGAGGGAGAGAAGGGCGCGGGAGTGGCGCGAGCGCAAAGCTCGGGGAGGAAGGCATTGTCGGAGGCGATGATGCGGCGGTGGGAGGGCGAGGAGAGCGCGAGGAGAGCGCGAGGGAGGTCGCAGGTGCTGGAGAGATAGACTGGAGATTTTGGGAGATTTTGGGGGCGTACAGAATTCATGAGCAGACGGACACAGGTGCATCATGACCTCAGGTGCGCTTGCAGCCACCGTCATTCGGTGCTGGGAAACTGACAGAACATAGCACAAACTTTTACAATTTCGCAAGCCACCTCGAGCGCCCCGGTCAACGACCTGGCGCATCAACAAACGTCGCGCTTACCCCCACGCCTGCCGGCACAAACGCAACTCTCCGCCCGCTTCCGCTTTCCTGCGCCGCGGCGACCTCCATCTTCTCCCTCCACACCTTATTCGCGGCCTCATACGCCGCGGAGAACAGGGCGACACTGAGGGCCATATACACACTTCTCTGCCTGACGCCCCTCCACAGCACGCCGCTGCCCTCCTTTCCGACCGACTTTACAGCGCAGGCCACCCACCCCTGGAAGGTCCTCCCGGGCGGGGCGCGCTGCGCCATGACGCGCGTCTTAATCACATCCAGCGGGTTGGTCAGGGCACCAACAAGCGCGCCGACAATAGCGCCCGTGGCCGCGCCGTCCCGCACGCCGATAGGCGCGCCCGTGCGCTTCTCGTGCAGCGCGCGGGCGCGCTCGTACAGCAGCAGGTGAAGGACGCGGCACGGGACGTCGCGCGCGACCTGCGCAACGACGCCGTTCCAGAGGGCGCCGGCGCGCAGCGCGGAAACGGCGGACGGGAAGGCGGCCGTCTGCACTCGGAGCTTGAGGGTCTCCAGCGGGGCGAGCCACAGCGCGGTGAAGGTATCGGCGAGGCACGCGGCGGCGATGGGGACGGGCAGCCAGGGCGCGCGGTTCGACTTGGCCAGCGAGGCCGTGAAGCGCGAGTACAGAAGGAAGGCGAGCAGGCCCGCAGGCGCGTGCGCCAGGAGCGCGGGGGTGAGGCCGGCGAGTGGCGGCCCGCGAGAGACGGCGCGCAGGGCCAGCGGCGACGTGGCGACAGAGGTTTGCAGGCGGGCCTTGGAGGCGTCCAGTGGGTTGAGGACCAGGATGGTGAGCAGGCGGGCCGTGGCGGAGGAGAGGAGCGCCGGCTTGTGCAGGGTGAAGGTGCGGCGCAGGTCAGAGAGGAAGGGGCGGGGGGACGGGATGGACATCGTGGGAAAGGTGGGGGAGAGGGAAGGAGTCAGGGGAGGGGGGGAGGGGGGGGGCGACGGGGGAGGGGGGTGGAGGGTGGGAAAGAGCAGGGAGAGGGGGGCGCAAGAAAGTCAACGGAGGAAGGCGAGGGAAGGCGGTAAGCGAATACCCTACCCTTGGCTCGCTGGGGATGGAGGTGCCAGGGACACTGCCTCCGATCTGACAGATTATGCTGATGAGTTCTCTGTAAAGCTGTAAGCAATTATTTTGATCCGTCGCGACTCTTTACAGTAGTTATGTGTAAGACATTTTGATCTGCTCTATATCTGTAAGAACTGCCGTTATGCTGTAAGCATGATGTCACGTGTGAGGGCACTCTTCGGTTTTCTTGCCCCTCCGTCGGCACCTTTCCATCAATCTTGCTGCGCAACTCATCCATCCCCTTCGCACCGCACCGCACCGCTCTGCAGCGATGCCGATTCCCCGTCCCGCCCTCCTCCCCACCCTTCTTCTCCTCCTCCTCCTCCTCGCCCTTGCGCTAGCACACGGCTCCCTCCTTCATCACGACCACGAGCACCATGGGTCCCACGACCACCATGACGCCGACAGTTCCCACCACTCCCATGCCCACGCTCATGCTCACGACCACGCCCACGACCACGCTCACGACCACGCCCACGACCACGACCACGACCACGACCACGACCACGCTCATGACCACGCCCCCAATCCCCTGACCACGCGTCTCCACGACCTCCTCGACCCTCTCCACACGCTCCCACCCGCGACTGCCGCACTGACCGCCTCGCTCCTCATCTCCTCTCTCTCGCTCACCTCTCTCCTACTGCTCCCTCTCACGCCGCTGCTCCCGCTGCTCCTTCCATTCGCAGCCGGCGCGCTTCTCGCCGACCTCTTCTACCATCTCCTCCCGCACGTCTACCTGCACCCGACCGCGTCCACGGCCCCGACCCTACTCCTCTCTGTCGCCGTCTTCGCGCTCCTCGACGCCGTGATCCGCCGCGTCCACCCGCACTCGCACGCGGCTCCGGCCTACATCAACCTCGCCGCTGACGCGCTGCACAACTTCTGCGACGGCCTGGCGCTCGCCGCCGCCTTCCTAGTGAGCCCCGCGGCCGGCGTCGCCACCACCGTCGCCATCGCGCTGCACGAAATCCCACAGGAGATCGCCGACTACGCCGTCCTGCTGCGCGCGGGCTTCTCCAAGCCGCGCGCGCTGCTGGCAAACCTCGCTTGCGCTGCCACCGCGCTTGTGGGTACCGCCGCAGCCCTGTTCGCCGCCGCCTTGGTGGAGAAGGCCGACGAGGTCGTGCCACCGTTCGCGGCCGGCGCGCTTGTGTATATGACCTTTGCGACCGTTGTTCCGGATGTCATAGAGGACCTTTGCAGGCCGCAAAAAGTGGAGGGGGAGCACGGGAAGGACGAGTCTGTGCCAGTGCCGTGGACAACGTTTGTTAAGAGGCTCGTTATGGCGTTTGTTGGCGCCTGTGGGGGTGTGCTTATCGTTCAGCTGGTTGAGACTACACATCAGCATTAGGTTTACGCCGGCTATGCTAGTCTGTGTTCCATGCATACGCGTGAGGCGGAAAGAGAGTAAGCGACACATATATGTGTATTTGCATTGGCTGGCGGAGCGTCGTATCTTTCCTGGCGAAGTTGACATGGCGTTACAGGGCTCTCGGAGGGCGATGCTGGTCTAAACGCGGGGAGTCGGACGATGCCAGATGGAGGCTGCTGCCCATTCTGCTGCATCTGTAAGCTTGCTATGCGTCAACATGCCAAGCATGCAAAGATATCAAAACAGCGAGAAGGTGGTGGACGTGAGAATAGCCCTTTTTAATTAAGGATTTTCCCAAATGGTGGACATTGCCCGTTCGCACAATTTTTTGTTTTGTTGTTCGCTAGTGTATGGGTGAATGTGTGGTAGCATCACAAGTGATACATCGCTAGAATCCTAGCCTCGTTGTACTGCTTCTACGCGCAAAGTGGAGTTTTTGTCAACGTCAGGGGTTGTGGGCGGCCTTTTTGGATCAAGTTTAAAGGTAGTGTATATTGCGAATGGTCAAACTTTATGGACCCATAGTAGTCCACGGCGCGCTGAGTTACAGTGCTCTGAAGACTGTTATCTAGCCCTTCTCACTACACTTGTGCCTCGTGGCTGTTGCCTTTTCCAATGCTCGATCTGACTTTACTACTTTCCGCCATGGGGCTCACTTTGCAAGCAAAGGCCTTGCAGCGGGGGCGGCGGTTTCGGGGACGCGAGTTGTAGTTGGAAATTCAAGAGAGGCTTCATCTCTGTTCAGAGCCAGCACGGTGGCGCTGGTAAGTGTAGCACGTGCTGCTGTAGAGACCGTGTGTGTTTCCCCTCTCCCTCGGGTTGCTGATGTGTAGTTGCGCTTCAGCCATATTTTCTGCTCTCTCGCTGTTCCAGCCTCTTGACAGTCACTTGCAAGTAGAAAAGGTGACTTAGTGTCGTGTACCTGTAAGCAGAAAATGACTGTGAGAAGTGCAAAGGCGGTGAGCAGTGAAATCCAGTCGCAATGTACCTTTTTCAATTTTGCTGTCCACACCATTGATTCTCCTCTTGGTGTGGTTCGACGTCTTCAACTCTTGGCAGCTGTATTTGGTGCTTTTCGATCGGTTAAAGCGGAGAAGAAGAGAACGAGTTAGCGCTGACAAGGAGATGGGATTCAGTCGTGGCTTCTTTTTATACCTATGAGTTGAACCCATGGGTTGCTTTCAAGGACCGACCCTCAGGCCCATCCTACATCATTCCATCGATATTGGAACGTCAAGCTACCACAGATGTGTACCTGTCCTCCTTTGACGCGATTCTCATTAACGAGAGGGGCTGCCCAGAAGTCTTTTCAGCATTATACAATGCGGGCTGCAGACTTCATCGGTGATGTAAGCGGTTGTTCCTGTATCTTTCTAAATGCTGTATGTCTGCGAAAGACAAAGGATGCAATTGTATTGTCCATTCAAGACTATATATATGCCTTCTAGATAAATTGGACATACCTCCGCTGTGCTCACATTCAGCAATTACATGCTTTTCAATAGTGGACTTTATGCATGCATGGTAATTCGTCGGATGACTTCTTTTGGATTGAGAGTATTGCTCGCAAAGCAAATGCTCACGTCGTGTACCAATATTAATGAGAAGCGTTGCGTAATATAGCCAGGTCCACAGCAGGGTGCAGCAGCAACTGAAAACTGATATCAAGGGATTGATCTTTTGATTTTGGTCTGTGAATACCCCATATGCCATTATTATCTTCAATGAGAATGACAGCATTCCCCTCCTCAACAATCAAAATCAAAAGATGACTTGAAAGGAGAGCATGTCATTTGGCCTGAATCATGAGTTTCGAGTATGTTTTAGGGCACTGCTGCCTAATCCATTTGGTGTTCTTGAAAGCAATAAGTTTGTGGTGGCACGTCAATTTCGAAGGTACTGTGCTCAGGTACAAGCTGTAACTCGAGTTTTATACGTAGAGGTAAACTAAATCTCCCTAAAATGTTCTGCAGTGCTTCCCTTGCACCACAGAGTTTTAATATGAAAGTGTGGAGCAACCTGAATGTGTCATCGACGTCGGACGGAAGGGCAGAAATATTGAGTTGCATTGTTGCTAAAGCGTTTTCACATGTTATGATAGCACCCGAAAAAGGGTATAGTATGCTTTTCATGCAGTGCATAAAGATGAGAAAAGGCCTGCCCAATATGACATTGATGGATTTGCGACAGATACAGGTGGTCATCGAGGCATGTCATAGTTCGGTGAGAAGGGCAATGAAAGCAAGTACTTCAAATAGCGAATCATTGCCCAAATTCTGACATTTACAGCCGCAGCTGGCAGTGCAGCACTCAAGAAACTGCGGATTGCAAAATATCTTGTGGGCTAAAGTATCAGAGTAAATGAGGATGGTATCAAAAGTGCTTGTTGCTCGATCCAAAAAATATCTTGTGGGCTAAAGTATCAGAGTAAATGAGGATGGTATCAAAAGTGCTTGTTGCTCGATCCAAAACGCCCCGGCCTCAGAAAGCCTGCCACATCTTCAACCACTGTACATATGCGCCCTGTATATGTGCGCATATGTGCGTGCCCTCAGGGGCTGGTTACTGCAGGGTGTAGAGTTTTTCATAATTCTAGTGTGTTCTTTTCGCGAGCCACATATATTGCACCCAGTCCATATCATCTATCCCTTAGTCGCATTCTCAACCTTCGCACACACAAAATATAGACGCGAGACTATGGATAGCAGTGCCCCATTGAAAATGAGAACAGCTGAGGTTCTGGAAGAAAAGACTTCGATTTTGAATCGCGAGGATCGGTCCCTGACAATTGCAGCTAAGATCGTTTATTTCTCCGAGGGACAAGTGCGTATGAAGGACGTATGGCGACATTGTACCTCAAAAGTATTCTGAAGGGAAAACATGTGTATTAATCTGAAAACGCCGCGTGTCACTGGAACGGCAGGGTGCGGGATATTTGCAGTTTGGGACTCGAAGCTGTTCGAATTGTGGCAATGTTGAAGCACAGTGAGAGCGGGGTAGGGCATTGATTTACAAAAGGGGTATCCCGCGCTGCGTAGTATTTGTTGACATCAACAATGTTGATGTGGTGTTAATGTCATTAACACCACTTCCCATCCTTCCCACGATACGTAAAATTCCAAATTCTCGTGATGTCACGCTCGCTGACTGTGAGAACGCGGAGGTGCGTTCGTCGATTTCCGCGCTCCCTTTCTGCATAGCACCGGTGCCCGCTTGACACCTGTACACGTTTAGACGCTGCCGAAATTGGCAGCGGTATTATGAAAACAGAGAAAATGTCCCAAAGTGTATGAGAAAGTGTCTCATGTGAGACACTTTGCTGTGAACGGCATATGAGAAAATGTGTCACAACATATGAGAAAATGTCTCTGAGCGTATAAAAAAATGTCCTTTGCCAAGAAAATTAACGAAAATCAGTATCCGTTCTATCCTGCTAGTGTCAACGTGACAAATGGCCTCGCTCTTGCGCAAAATTTGGTGGGAAGAGACCGGCGAAGAAGTATGCGCATTTCACCTTTCGGCAATAGAATGGCAATAGAATAGAATCCATTTTCGATGCAATCTTGGCCAAAATAGAGTCAAATCTAATTCTATGCTAGTCAAATTCTATCCGAGAGCGATAGAATGTCCCGTTGGAGTTGCCTTTTTTGATCGTATCGCTAAATTTTCTTATCATAACAAGAAAATAGTGAATAGAAGCTCCCGGTGGTGTCGACTCTCGCATTGACTCACGAGTAAGCTTGCATTATAAGCTACAATTATCATGTGCACTACCTCTCTATTGGGTTGCACTATACCGGTAATTATTACATGTGCACTCTCGTCCCTCTCCACTTAATCGTATCCTATCTCTGTTAGTATTACATCATTTAGTCCAATGCCGTTGATCCATTATAAAAGGAACGAACTAGCACCCCGGCTTTAACACCGGAGCAGAAAAGACAAGAAGTAATAAACCAACCAAAACCACAACTCTACGCTCTCCAGCAGAGGAACCTCCGGTACGGCGTCAACAAGACAATTGTTCGGAGCGTGCGCACCACTCGTGTGAACCGACACTGATCAGTCTCGGTATCGACCGCGACAGATCTGCAAGGTCTACCATGAACAGTCAAGGTGGATCAGCACCTAACCCGCCGTCGAGTGACAATAACGCTCAAAATCATACCAATGATGAAGAATTCTTCAGTCTAGGGATTCTCAACGATGTAGATGCACATGTTCGCAACAGGTTTATACTCTATTGTGTGAGGCTCTATAAGGAGAAGAACTGGCGTAACGAGACACTGTCCGAATACTTCGCGGAAGATTTCAAGGACTTCACTCTGGAGCACTTCAACGAGGCAAAAGTGACTGGACGAAGGGAACTTCGTGATGTTCTACGTAGCCAAGGTGTCTATGTCAAGAAGGACCGAAATTTGTCTATCTCAGAATCCCTGTTTGACGTCGTTCAGAACGACATTCCATGGCCCGATGATGATCCAGAATCCCCGTCTGTTCGTACGGGATCAGAAAAGCATTCTGGTCACACAGCAGCATCGGGAAACGACCCGAAGTTTGGTAAGATGAACGGATCCTACTCCTCAAAAAACATCAGTGGCATATCCAAGGCATACAACAGAGACGAAGAACGGTTCAGTGGAAAGGAAAGCGACAACTTTGACCGCAAACTGAAGCTCTTCAACGAGCGATGCAACCAAAACGGTTTTGATGATTCTAAAAAATCAAAGGCGTTCTCCATTATGCTGTGCGACAGAGCACTTCAATTCTTCTCCGACTGCAAGGTAATTGGATGACTTTTTCAGAACTGTGTTCTAGTATCAAGAAGAGGTTTGAAACGGAGGAACACACTCGCGGACGCCTTCGAGAGTGGGACAAACTCACGCTAAAATCAGTCATGTCGGACAACGTCGAGAAAAAGGCTACCGAATCTCTGGATATATTACTAGCCCGTCTTCAAGATATCCAGTCAGGACTTCCGAAGGAGTATCAGAACGAAGTAATTCTTCAAAACAAGGTTCTGAACGCCGTGAAAGATATTGACTCCTGCCAACTTGCCTATTTCAAACCAGCCAGCAACCTCGAAGGCATCATCTCGGACATCTACTCCTCTCTTGCAGCTGCACTGCCCAAACAGGATCCCGTCCTGCACGCGCACTTCATCGACCGGAAGTTTAGAAGTGATCATCGGGGA